ACATTGAACAGTATTTTGTCTTTGTAAATGAGTAATACAAATATATATTTATGCAGAAATCAGCGCAACGCTCCCAGATTAAACCTCAACTATGTAAGGTTGGTTTGAACAAGGACAGTGTCCACGATATGTACTTATGTTGTCAATGGTTGATAAAAAGTTAGTATTTTCGATATGTTACACATACTGACAAGAATGATATCAAAATTTTAACCATTATTAGTCCCCAAACGTTACCGTTCTGTAATGAAAAATATAAATGTGCTCAAGAAGTGGGAATATATACTTGATCGGAGTAAACATTACTTACGATGTATACCTCTTCAGTTTTAACCGTTTTTGAGTATGGTGAAATTATGGGACGGTTGCACGCTCATCGAATCGAAGATGTTCAGTATCGTTACTGGTCCTTACGTCATACAATTTGTCAGACGCCGCCATTGACGTATCTTCTTGTACTGCTTCGAACTCCCATGTGGATCGCTCTGCAATATAAAATAAAACAATCCCTGTAAAGATTTTGGACAGCAGAAATAAGATGAAACTGCAGTTAATATGAATTATGAAAAGCATATCTTACCACTAGCCTTCGTACGTAGCAGCCCCGTCCCACTTAGAAAAAAAATGATTTTACCGTTTAAAATTAAAAAACAACAACATCGTTTTTGACATTAATTTTACTTTCTTGGAAAATGTCCTTTACCTAAGACTTCTATTTTGGCAATATTTAATCAACGAAAGCACCTTTCCTCAGCATTGGTGAAAGGGAACTTAACGTTTTACATACGGGATTGAAGTGTAATGTATATAGTATGCCCTTTTAGCGAAAACTTTGTTAAACAGTTTTGGGGATCCTTGTGAGAATGCCCGTCCTTTCTTTGTTTCTGATGTTTTCAATACAGTATTCAATTTTTTTTTATCTACTTTCAATCATTGACGCCTTATATATGGTGTTATTAAAGTCATTAGTCCATTGCTTTTTGGAAATTAAAAAACTGTCGGTAGAAACCAACATTACGTATATACACTATACTACATGTATATATAGGGTTATGACCCTTTGTTCACCCTGCGTCACCTTGTATGCGATACGTCAATTAATGTACGTTGTATCACCAATTAAAATCGGGCTCTTTATATACAGAGTTACAGCTCTTTGTTACCTTTCGTCGCAGTGTCCAGGGCATATATCAATGTACTGTGTCACCTACAGTTAGAAAGATTTGTATGTGATTAACTCTTGGTATTACCCAGGGACATACATGTTGATACAAATGCCTATTGGTTTGATGCATACTAAAATCAGTGTCGTGCCCAAAGGTTTGGTAGGGGGATGCTTGGCTATATATTGCTCACAATGAGGCTGAGCTACGTATTACTCGCAATGGCCCAAACTGTTCTAGGCCAGTGTGATTCTACTCATCTATATGTATCGTCAGATTTCAACTGACATACGTTCTCTGCTCCTTTGTAAAGCTCAGAAATATGCGTATAAGAGGATTTAGATTCGCTACATTTCAAAATTATTTCCGACGTTTAGTAATGACACAACTGTTTAAATGTTTTATTGTCATTTTAATGACAGATTTTGACTCTGTACCATGTAACGTACCTGAACATTTAAAATACCTGGGATAGTACTGTTGTCAGCTACCAGAGAGTGACCACTTAAACGTTGTTAAATAGTGCACTAAAGTAATTTTCTTGTGATGATTGCAGTTAATGGTCCATTTCGATCTTCCCGTGTTATAACTGAAGCATGGCAATCAGCTTATCTACAAAGATTACAAGGAAGTTCTCTTCACTTACTGGTATATGTACGCCATATGAAACGAATTCATGTGATGATTGATATGAATGGACCATTGCGTTCTTATACTGGTTTTATGACAGTGAACATCGATACTAGAAAGAACAACAGCGATGTTCTTCTTGCTGGGTGGACCGTGTAAGTCATGTGAGAATTTCACACGCGTCATTAACTAAATGTGACATTTATTAGTAAATTGAGCCAGTCCGTCATCGTACTGCTGGATTTAATGTCAATTTTGTACTCTCCACTGCATGTACGTAGAGGTAAGAAGAGATGTGTTATTTTGAAAATGGATTTTTCGACCAGATTCGTTAAAGAAGAAATAAAACAAATGCCATCTGGCATATTATCTGTTCACAAATATACAGCATATAAGTTTGAACAGTCAGTTGTAATGTCATTTGACTAAATCGTATATGCGACTGGGTAGTATCTTTAAGCATTGTACCTTTGCACCCTCACTTCGTAGCAGTCCTACTTGCTCCACGAGGAACCTTTTATAGAACTTCCAAAACACACTGGTTGAGTTGTATCTCACGGTGTTTTTTTTAATTGTTTAAGCATGGACATGACCCCTTCATATTACTGTTGCGACTGTATTTCTAGTGTGGGGTGAAACTCGTGTCAATCCCCAAACTACCGAGTACGTATTTAATCCTCCTAGTACTGTGTGGGGTGAGACTCGTGTCAATCCCCACATTTCTAGTGTGGGGTGAAACTCGTGTCAATCCCCAAACTACCGAGTACGTATTTAATCCTCCTAGTACTGTGTGGGGTGAAACTCGTGTCAATCCCCACACTACGGAGTACATGTTTAATCCTCCTGGTACTGTGTGGGGTGAAACTCGTGTCAATCCCCACACTACCGAGTACATGTTTAATGCGCCTAGTACTGTGTGGGGTGAAACTCGTGTCAATCCCCACACTACCGAGTACATGTTTAATCCTCCTAGTACTGTGTGCGGTGAGACTCGTGTCAATCTCCACACTACCGAGTACATATTTAATCCTCCTAGTACGGTGTAGGGTGAAACTCGGGTCAATCCCCACACTACTAAGTACATAATTAATCCTCCTAGTAGTGTGGGGTGAAACTCGTGTCTATCCCCAAACTACCGAGAATATGTTTAATCCTCCTAGGACTGTGTTGGGTGAAACTCGTGTCAGTCCCCAAACTACCGAGTACATGTTTTGTTTAATCCTCCTAGTAGTGTGGGGTGAAACTCGTGTCAAACCCCACACTACCGAGTATATGTTTAATCCTCCTAGTAGTGTGGGGTGAAACTCGTGTCAGTCCCCAAACTACCGAGTACGTATTTAATCCTCCTAGTACGGTGTGGGGTGGCACTCGTGTCAATCCCCACCCTACCGAGAACATGTTTAATCCTCCTAGTTCTGTGTTGGGTGGCTCTCGTGGCAATCCCCACACTACCGGGTACATGTTTTATCCTCCTAGTACTGGCTGGGGTGAAACTCGTGTCTATCCCCAAACTACCGAGAATATGTTTAATCCTCCTAGTAGTGTGGGGTGAAACTCGTGTCAATTCCCACACTACCGAGTATATGTTTAATCCTACTAGTACTGTGTGGGGTGGGACTCGTGTAAATCCCCAAACTACCGAGAATATGTTTAATCCTCCTAGGACTGTGTCGGGTGGGACTCGGGCCAATCCCCACACTACCGAGCACATGTTTAATCCTCCTCGTACTGTGTGGGGGGGGACTCGGGTCAGTCCCCACACTACCGAGTTCATATTTAATCCTCCTAGCACTGTGTGGGGTGAGACTCGAGTCAATCCCCACACTACAGAGTACATGTTTAATCCGCCTAGTACTGTGTGGGGAGAGACTCGTGTCAATACCCACACTACCAAGTACATATTTAATCCTCCTCGTACTGTGTGGGGTGAGGCTCGTGTCAATCCCCACGCTACCGAGTACATGTTTGATCCTCCTAGTACTTTGGGGGGTGAAACTCGTGTCAGTCCCCAAACTACCGAGTATATGAGTACTGTGTGGGGTGACACTCGTGTCAATCCCCACACGACCGAGTACATGTTTAATCCGCCTAGTACTGTGTGGGGGGGGACTCGGGTCAGTCCCCACACTACCGAGTTCATATTTAATCCTCCTAGCACTGTGTGGGGTGAAACGCGTGTCAATCCCCAAACTACTGAGTACATATTTAATCCGCCTAGTACTGTGTGGGGAGAGACTCGTGTCAATACCCACACTACCAAGTACATATTTAATCCTCCTCGTACTGTGTGGGGTGAGATTCGTGTCAATCCCCACACCACCGAGTACATGTTTAATTCTCCTAGTACTGTGTGGAGTGAGACTCGTGTCAATCCCCCCACTACCGAGTACATGTGTAATCCTCCTAGTACTGGGTGGGGTGGCACTCGTGTCAATCCCCCCACTACCGAGTACATGTGTAATCCTCCTAGTACTGTGAGGGGCGAAACTAGTGTCAATACCCACACTACCGAGTACGTGTTTAATCCTCCTAGTTCTTTGTGGGGTGAAACTCGTGTCTATCCCCAAACTACCGAGAATATGTTTAATCCTCCTAGCACTGTGTGGGGTGAAACGCGTGTCAATCCCCAAACTACCGAGAATATGTTTAATCCTCCTAGCACTGTGTGGTGTGAGACTCGTGTCAATCTCCGCACTACCGAGTACATATTTAATCCTCCTAGCACTGTGTGGTGTGAGACTCGTGTCAATTTCCACACTACCGAGTACATATTTAATCCTCCTGGTACTGTGTGGGGAGAAACTCGTGTCAATCCACACACTACCGAGTACATATTTAATCCTCCTAGTACTTTGTGGGGAGAAACTCGTGTCAATCCACACACTACCGAGTACATATTTAATCCGCCTAGTACTGTGTGGGGTAAAACTCGTGTCAATTCCCACACTACCGAGTATATGTTTAATCCTACTAGTACTGTGTAGGGTGAAGCTCGTGTCAACCCCCATTCAACCTAGTACATGTTTAATCCTGCTAGTACTTTGTGGGGTGAAACTCGTGTCTATCCCCAAACTACCGAGTACGTATTTAATCCTCCTAGTACTGTGTCGGGTGGAACTCGTGTCAATCCCCACGCTACCGAGTACATGTTTGATCCTCCTAGTACTGTGGGGTGAAACTCGTGTCAATCCCCAAACTACCGAGTATATGTTTAATCCTCCTAGTACTGTGTCGGGTGGGACTCGTGTCAATCCCCACACTACCGAGTACATGTTTAATGCGCCTAGGACTGTGTGGGGTGAAACTCGTGTCAATCCCCAAACTACCGAGTACATATTTAATCCTCCTAGTACTGTGGGGGGTGGAACTCGTGTCAATCCCCACACTACCGAGTACATGTTTGATCCTCCTAGTACTGTGTGGGGTGGAACTCGTGTCAATCCCCACACTACCGAATACATGTTTAATCCTCCTAGTACTGGCTGGGGTGAAACTCGTGTCAATTCCCACACTACCGAGTACATGTTTAATCCTCCTAGTACTGTGTCGGGCGGGACTCGTGTCAATCCCCACACTGCCGAGTACATGTTTAATCCTCCTAGTACTGTGTGGGGTGGCACTCGTGTCAATCCCCACACTACCGAGTACATGTTTGATCCTCCTAGTACTGTGTGGGGTGGAACTCGTGTCAATCCCCACCCTTCCGAGTACATGTTTAATCCTCCTAGTACTGTGTGGGGTGGAACTCGTGTCAATCCCCACCCTTCCGAGTACATGTTTAATCCTCCTAGTACTGTGTCGGGTGGGACTCGTGTCAATCCCCACACTACCGAGTACATGTTTGATCCTCCTAGTACTGTGTGGGGTGGAACTCGTGTCAATCCCCACCCTTCCGAGTACATGTTTAATCCTCCTAGTACTGTGTGGGGTGAAACTCGTGTCAATCCCCAAACTACCGAGAATATGTTTAATCCTCCTAGTACTGTGTCGGGTGGGACTCGTGTCAATCCCCACACTACCGAATACATGTTTAATCCTCCTAGTACTGGCTGGGGTGAAACTCGTGTCAATCCCCAAACTACCGAGTATATGTTTAATCCTCCTAGTCCTGTGTCGGGCGGGACTCGTGTCAATCCCCACACTGCCGAGTACATGTTTAATCCTCCTAGTACTGTGTCGGGCGGGACTCGTGTCAATCCCCACACTACCGAGTACATGTTTAATCCTCCTAGTACTTTGTGGGGTGAAACTCGTGTCAATTCCCAAACTACCGAGTATATGTTTAATCCTCCTAGTACTGTGTCGGGCGGGACTCGTGTCAATCCCCACACTACCGAGTACATGTTTAATCCTCCTAGTACTTTGTGGGGTGAAACTCGTGTCAATTCCCAAACTACCGAGTATATGTTTAATCCCCCTAGTACTGTGTCGGGCGGGACTCGTGTCAATCCCCACACTACCGAGTATATGTTTAATCCTCCTAGTACTGTGTGGGGTGGAACTCGTGTCAATCCCCACATTACCGAGTACATGTTTAACCCCCCAGGTTTGGGTAGATTTCAATAAGTTCTTTTTTGCTCACAAACATTGGTTCTCTGCATGTAAATTGAAAGTGCATGAACTATACACACAACACCTGTTCTGTGAACACTGGCAGTAGGAACCCGGTAAACACCAGGTCTAGTCTATTGTGATACGTCCCAGGATAGTATTTTGTAACAATTGAGTAATTGCAACTTTACTTAAATCCGCCAATCGTAATGACAGTGTCATATTTGCTGAACGCAATGAAACAGCATCGCTTTTTTAGAATATGCATTTTGAGGTTGATACATTTTTTTCCGAACAAGCAAAGGGTCTGTTGTCATCTGATTTTTTGTAATGCCAGGAAGAAACACACATTTAACAATTTTGTTATAATAGGTCACGTAGTGTTCCAATTATTGAGATGATGGGCAAAAGTGCGGACCGCAGCGTTGTGGCAATCTTCAGTGATAAAGCACCAGGGATGGAGAGGGATTGACACCCAAGCCATCTGCAAAATCCCTCAAACTTTAAATGAGCATATGCATGCTGCAGTGTAGTAGTTCGCCATGGTGAATCGCCTATATCATCAACCTCTGCCGACAGTGTATATGTCTGGTGGATTCACCCGTCTTCATATGGCTTTTACGAGGACAATTAACCCCAAACAAACAGTTTTGTTTCAAATATGGACATCAACAGGGCACAAGACTTGTACGCGCAAAAAGTGCTGGATTGTCTTCGACTGGTGTGCCACTATCAGGTGATCCCTAGGTAAAACAGCGTTACAATCAATGACATGTTTGGTAAGTTTCGAAAACCATGAATCAGTAGTCCAATATGGCATCAATAGATTACTTCTGAAGTAATGCCCCGCTCGTTGTTTTGTAAAACTATGCCAAGTAATGAAAATGGAGGAGATTAACATTTGTTTGTCCCACGTTATAGTAACGTTGTCAATACTGCAGGCAAATCGATAAGGATTTCATAAAAAGTAACTTGGTCGTTGTGGGTTTAGCCTAGATGCAAACAAAACGAGCTCGAAATATCTGTGACACTATTTGATATCTAACGTATTTATTGTATAGTTCCGCTGAGTATTTTCGTGATCAAAGCGACTTAACTCATCTGCTTCTACATTTTGTTTGCACGGTATGCGGCCAACCGACAACTGTATATCTCTTTCTACACACCGTTCTTATATGTGTTTGGCTAATTTGTTACATTGTAAACATTGGTGATTTACCATCAAGATCATTCATGTTATGTTAAGCAATTGCTGAAGAATTGACCGGATTAATCCTAAGATGTACATGCTATACATTCCCGACTCCCGACCATTTTGTATGCGTATTTAAATCATTAAAAAGGCGGAAGAGATTAGAAAAACTACACATTTTTCATGAAGCGTTCATCAGCGTTTTATCCACTAGGTCAGTTTGAATATTACCGGTGATGAAATATGCATCCTTGCGTCGAAGTCCCCTCTGGCTATTATTATGGGACTTATCTTTCCTTCTTAGATGGCGACAGTAGAGTTGACTAAAGTAGGCTGCTGTATGACCTATGTAACAGGCTGCTGTATGACCTATGTAACAGGCTGCTGTATAACCTATGTAACAGGCTGCTGTATGACCTATGTAACAGGCTGCAACTTGGAAGGTACATGTAGTTTGATTGCTTCATATGATTGTGTCAATAGCTGCATCACCTATATTTACTTTCTCGTCGTCAGGGGTATCGTCATGTCGTTTAAATTAATAACAAACCTACAAAAGATGGTTTTATAAAACCTGATATAAAGAATCCACTTATCAATTTGACCAAGTAGTGATAATACTTTAGCTCCATTCAGAATCCAAAATGGCTGCCCTGCCACCTAATTTTTTTCGGGTGTGTGGTTCGATGTCGTATGGGCTCTTTCTGAAACAGATGCATAACCCCCTCACCCCCACTCCAACTCCCACTCCCATCCCCGAGCTCTCTTGCACTATAAATATTAGGACCGCACACTTGTTTAACCATAGTAGGTGCGTTAACGCCATCTTTCCAGGGTCTTTTTTATTCTTAATGTAATCGACTCCGCTGTTGGAGAAATATCATTAGGTGTTCCGGTCTGTGACTTTCACTCAACAGTTGTCCTTAAATGACACTAGCTGTTAATAGGACGTTACACAATATAAAACCGAACCACTCAACCGTCACTATTGCTCCTCATATCTGTTCATGTCTGTTCATGTCGGCGACTTCACTTCTCACTTTCTGAAACCATTCCTCTCCGTGAAATAATTACTGGAAATACAGAGTAAGGAAACACCTGTTAAAAGTCAACACAGCAAGCATAACAAAGCTACATGTAACATTTTTCTGTACCCTGTGGCAAAATTGCGAATCATCAATGGTACAAAAGGTTAGAAGATTGAAATATGTTTGATGTGTTCCAAAATATATGTGGGAAATAGCAACAGGGAAAATTTTACAAATTTGAGTGAAAAAAAAACAACAACGAAAAAAAGCAACACATTGAATATCTCCAAAAGCTCAAATGATGTTGCCGCTGATATAAACAACCAAATTGGAGACTATTCGTATTGATATATATCTAAAAATTCCCGAGTAATACTTCTACCTAGAGACCTAATTTATTCAACGATCATGAAGGCTTTCTGTTGCTACGTTACGCGACGTTTTCACCCATGCGTGGTCGTGAATGCAGTGAAAGATGATGTTTATTGCAGGGTGCAGTTTTTAAACCCAATGTTTTTACAATTGCGTGGTCAGAGTTAGCATTGTAGAAAGGTTTACCGCAGGGCGCAGTATTTATAATCCCATGCTTTCTCCATTTCGTGGTCACGGATACATCGTGGGTAGAGTGGAAGGTATGTTTACCACAGAACGCGGTTTAACATCCTCGTTGTTTCACTATTACGTGGTCACGGATAGAGCGGAAGATATTAATACCATCATGGTTGTAACTTTTTAAGACACAATTCCGTCTGTAAAGAATAATTAACGAGTCTTCTTTACGTGATTCAACTGCAAATTCGGCATTAGAGGCTTTCCGTGATATGCTTTGTCGGAAACTGTTACTTCTCCTACTTGCGAAATACAGAAAAATATTTTACTATTACATTATAACGCTTATAGTGAAAGCTTTGTCGCAGGACGTAGTTTTATACCTCCATGATTTACAATAATTCAGTTACATTAATACAGTTCCGTCTGTACGGAATATTGAATGACGAATTGTGTTGAGTCTTGTTTCAGTGGTTCAACTGCCAAATTTTGCTTCAGAGGAATTCCGTGATATGCTATGTCAAAACTATTACTACTCCTACATGACAAATACAGATTTTTTTTTTACTATTGCGGGGTCATGGATACAGTTGAAGATAATATTTACCAGAGGGCCCATATTTTTTATATTCACGACTTAATACCCCCATGATTTTACTATTCGACACAGTTCTGTCTGTAAAGAATAATGAGCAACTAATTGCACTGCATTCCGAGATAGGCTATGTGGGAAACTATTACTTTCCCTACAGCAAAAATAAATATAGAAAATGATTTTACTACTACTATTGCGAGGTCATGGATACTTTTAAAGATAATGTTTATAACAGGGAGTATTTTTTATAATCCCATCTGCTGCGTTGTTATGGATAAAGTGGAAAATAGGTTTACCACCGGGCGCAGTATTTTTATCCCCAATTTTTCACTGTTACGTGTTTATAGATACAGCGTAAGATAATAGCTGTAAGCAGAGTTCTATACCCCCATGATTATACTATTACGTGTTCATAGATACAGCGTAAGGTAATAGCTGTAAGCAGAGTTCTATACCCCCATGATTATACTATTACGTGTTCATAGATACAGCGTAAGGTAATAGCTGTAAGCAGAGTTCTATACCCCCATGATTATACTATTACGTGTTCATAGATACAGCGTAAGGTAATAGCTGTAAGCAGAGTTCTATACCCCCATGATTATACTATTACGTGTTCATAGATACAGCGTAAGATAATAGCTGTAAGCACAGTTATATACCCCATGATTATACTATTACGTGTTCATAGATACAGCGTAAGATAATAGCTGTAAGCAGAGTTATATACCCCCATGATTATACTATTACGTGTTCATAGATACAGCGTAAGATAATAGCTGTAAGCACAGTTATATACCCCATGATTATACTATTACGTGTTCATAGATACAGCGTAAGATAATAGCTGTAAGCAGAGTTATATACCCCCATGATTATACTATTACGTGTTCATAGATACAGCGTAAGATAATATCTGTAAGCAGAGTTATATACCCCATGATTATACTATTACGTGTTCATAGATACAGCGTAAGATAATAGCTGTAAGCAGAGTTATATACCCCCATGATTATACTATTACGTGTTCATAGATACAGCGTAAGATAATAGCTGTAAGCAGAGTTCTATACCCCCATGATTATCCTATTACGACACAGTTTCGTCTGTACGGGCTAGTGAACGACGAATTGTATTGAGCCTGATTTCCGTAGTTCGATTACAAATTTTGCATCAGAGGCATTCCATAATAGGTTATATTGTTAATTGTAACTTACTTTGTATGTGAGATGTATATCCTCATTGATTTGAACATCATCAAGTGGAGGTCGGTGATTTGTGATATTGACCTAATGTTTATTATTTTTAGAAACAACAGGTAAATATTCTCTTTATGACGTCACTTCAATTGTTACGTCATAAATTTATTTTGTCAAATATAGGCATAGTCCTTAAGACGAAGTTATTATGTTCCATCTGGTGTAATATTAAAAACAGTATAATTTTATATTTAATATAACATTTAAGGACTTATATTTCGGCGAGTATGTGGCTACATGGACCTGAAAAGTCTCGGTAAATATACATTTTTGGGTCTCTCTAACCACATATACACCTCATCAAAAGCCGAAATTGATAAGTAATGTAATGTTATGTTAAGTAGGTTAATATGCAGCTAAGCTTACGGCTACCTTTTTATCAATATTTATTA